TTTTTATCTTCGAAGATTTTTAATACCCATCCATCACATTTTTATTGAATACATGCTCTAGGTCAATTCAATGTAGTGACAGATTCAGAGGTATTAACGAACGAGATAAGACTAACACATCACATGACCTTATTAATGATATGTATAACCGTAATTTCTCAAGCAAAATCATTGTGAGATTGTTAAAACTGCTGAACAAAAATCAGTAGGAAATTGAAACGTCTGAATATATGAACTGCAAAAAAAAAAAAAAAAAAAACAGGATTCTGGGTTTGAGTTTTCAATTATTGGCTGCTCTCTCCATCACGAATGCCGGTCACTAAGTAAATATCTGTTTTTGTAAGTGTTGGCGTTTGCTTGAAACCAGAAAAAGGATTTAATACATCATCAGTGGCAACTTCCGTCGGACCACAAGAGGGCGGGCTCATTTCCCAGACTCGTTTGAGGTTCTCGAACTAGATACGAGCTTCAGTTTTATACTGCGTATCTTGATTGTGTATTGTAGAAATCTTGAAAGCACACAAACTTTATAGAAAATGTGTTTTATTATTTTCTGTGCAATAGAGTTTCCATTTGGCACGGTTCCTTGTTTAGAAGTGGACGGAGTAATGTTGGCCCAGTCAAACGCCATTGCCCGTTACTTGGCCAACGAGTATGGATTTGCTGGCAAGAATAACCTGGAGAAAGCCAAAGTTGACATGATTGTTGATGCCTTTGGAGATTTATTCAAAATGGCAATTAAATGGTATTATGCAGCAGATGAAGACGCGAAGGTAGTGACCCTCTTGATTTTCCTAATACTGTTATTTTTCTTATGTTATGGCTAGTTAAAGGGCGTAGTCGTCGCGCTGCGCATGTGCGACATTTGTGTGGATAAACATTGATTTTCCCATAATCCAATGCGCTATACTAATGGGAATCACAAGTATGAGGTTTCACCTGGGTGCAACTAGCACTAATTACCGCTCGTGATTCATTCGATACCTTCTAAACACCTAATAAAATATCCAATTACTCTTTGTAACGTCTTATTTTATACTCGTTGATCTGCGCAACAGTCAAAGTCGCCATCTTTGTTTATATGAGACCCATATATTCTGCGCATGCGTGGAGAGACGACTACCGCCCTTTAACCTACCATTTGCTGTTGATATATAGAATAGCTGACGTAATATAGATGTTTGATAATGTACATCGGCAGGGAACGCATAGGTAACAAGAAAGTGTAACTCACTCCAATTATATGGCCGTAATATTAAAGTGAATGCCCAATGAATTTGTGGTTCGTGGCATACAATTGTCAGACGGGATGAACGCAAATATGGGCGTCCTTATTTTAGCCCTGTTGTCATGTGTGGTAGACGTTTTTTGGCGGTCTAGGCTAGGATTTCAAAATGGTCTCTGAAGGAGTCGGGAAGGCAAGATGGAACTTTTATAGGGGCAGACTGACATAATAAAGCACAATACACATTCAAATAAAATAATAACAACTAGATTTAATACTAAATATCCCTATCACAATTAATATATGCTAGCATATAAAGAAAGACTTATCTGATCAGCTTAGTGAAAAATGATAATAAAGAGTCAGTGTCAAACTTCAGTGATGTTCACGTGATGAAAGTCAAGCCCACGGTGTATACACTGTAGTTCTCCCACACAATGGAGATGAGGAGAGTAGCTGTGCGCAGTTGAGTAAAGTTATTGTAGCAAGTTCAGATCTGGAGCTCAATGCGGTAGCAGACAGCAAGTAGTCAAGCAGTGACACAAAGGTACTGGCAATAGGTAGACTCCATAGAGTAGGTTCCATCATTGGATACAGAGTCATCTGTAACCCCTATAGTCTGTGGTCTTTCCAGCTATCATTGACTGTATGTAACAGTACAACGTACAGTGTCATCTTGCAGGAGCCTCATACTTGAGCTCTTGACTGCTAAAAGTTTAACCGAGGACTGATTAAATGTTAGTTTAGCAGCTGTTGGTCAATGTCATTGGTAATGCAACAATAAACACATAGTTTCTCATGTGTATCTGTTTACGGAAGATGGGCAGTTTTAATTACTGTAACTTAAACTAAAAGAGTGTCTAATATTAAGTTTACTCAGTACATCAATAGCCTGTTTCACACATGGCACCTTCCTTAGTTCATTGACCGTCCCGGTCAAGCCGTGATTCCCCCACTTAGCAGATGGCTTGATCAGATATTCAAAACTAATAATATGTTAAAAATAGAAAGTAAAGTACAATATAGAATAATATATAAATAAAGTGTATAAAAACATCAAACATCATCCAACAGACGCACATTTCCAAGCATTCCTCGATCCATACTCAAATAATACTCAAACAATAGTACAACAACCATACACCCACCCACAATCTAATCAAACCCTCTCTAAATTTGTGCAGTAAAGGAAAACTGGATACTATTGTACATTGTATATATATATATTTTTATTTTTTTTATGCACTAAACACAGATAGGCTATAACTATTCTAATTTAAATCAATCTCAAATAAAGTTATGATCCAGAAAAGTTGCTGTTACTTCACACCAGATTATTGCTATTTTTAGACTATTCTGTGGGTTCTAACCAACTATGCATTGAATCACCTGTATAAAGTTTAAGGCGGTCATAATGGACTACTTTTGGCACTGCTCGTGGACTTTTCTGAATTCTGTATAGAACATCAGACAACTTAGTTACTATAATGTAAGGACCCTCCCAAATTGGTCGAAGTTTAATCGAGACACCCTTTTTCCTCTGCTGATTGAATAGCCATACAAATTGACCTCTCTTCAATGGTTTGTATACAAGTTTCCGATCATAATCTAGTTTTTGACATCGCGCACTCGCTCTGAGAACTATTCTCGCTCATATGTCTCTTTTAGTCTATGTCTCAGTGCTTGTACATACTCTGTACCGATGTCATCATTTTCCTCATTTATGACCCCACTCATTGCAATTTCAATTGGCATGGATGTTTCTCTGCCCAGCGTCAACAGATTTGGAGTCTCGCCTGTGGATGCTTGTGGAGTACTCCTGTATGCCATTGTTGCAAACGCTAGCTGCTCATCCCAATCTTTCAAATTTGGGTCAATTAATGATCCAATTCAATTCTGCCCAATATGATTTAGCTACA